CATACAACATAGATAAAAAGAAATATACCTTTCTGTACATGCATCATATGTCTGTTTATTGAATACTAAGTAAGAACAAAAAAATTAAAAGTAACTTAAACAAGACTCGGAATGTAAACACCTATACGTATCTTTTATCTGAATACCTTTAGGGTTGTAGAGTCTGAGTTTTGGGTTTGAGCCCTGAGAGACACAGTGAACTTTTACCTTTAGGGTTGTAGACTTTGAGTTTTGGTGTCTGATTACCTTTAGGGTTGTAGAGTCGGAGTTTTGGGTTTGAGCCACTAAGAGACACAATGAACTTTCTGTTTAATGTGATTACCTTTAGGGTTGTAGAGTCGGAGTTTTGGGTTTGAGCCACTAAGAGACACAGTGAACTTTTACCTTTAGGGTTGTAGAGTTTGAGTTTTGGTGTCTGAATACCTTTAGGGTTGTAGAGTCGGAGTTTTGGGTTTGAGCCACTAAGAGATACGGTGAACTCCTGGAGCCTGGAGTCGATAGGAATCTGTATAAACTGGGAGTTAGCTCTCTCCTGGTCCACGGACATTAGGTTCACCTTCCTGGCCTTAACAGTCAGACGGACAACCTCTAACACCTGGCCAGAGATAAAAAAAACCGGACACTTGTAACTGGTGTAAAAAGGTCATAAGCAGCAGACTTTAAAAAAAAATCTGTACAATGAGCATCCATATCCACGGTACTTTTTTGAGACAGATCACTCTTTTTGTAATTATATACACGTACCTGATTGACTTGGTCTTTTTTGAGCAGAAAAACTTGACCGGAACTGGTGGAAGCAATTCTCTCGTAGACTTTATATCCGGGACTGAGCGGATTCCCACAATCCCCCGTCAGTACGAACACAACCTGCAATTATAGACAGCACAACCTGCAAGCAATTATATACAACACAACCTGCAATTATAGACAACACAATCCGCAATCATAGACAACACAACCTGCAATCATATACAACACAACCCGCAATTATGGACAACACAACCTGCAATTATAGACAACACAACCCGCAATTATAGACAACACAACCTGCAATTATAGATAACACAACCCGCAATTATAGACAACACAACCTGCAGTTAATGACAACAAAACCTGCAATTATAGACTACACAATCTGCAATTATAGACAACACAACCCGGAATTATAGACAACACAACTTGCAGTTATAGACAACACAACCTGCAATCATAGACAACACAACCTGCAGTTATAGACAACACAACCTGAAATCATAGACAACACAACCCGCAATTATAGACAACACAACCTGCAATAATAGACAACACAACCTGCAATTATAGACAACACAACCTGTAATTATAGACAACACAACCTGTAATCATAAACAACACAATCCACACTTATAGACAACACAACCTGCAACGATAGAGAATACAACATGCAATTATGGACAGCACAAGTTGCAATTATAGACAACACAACGTGCGATTATAGACAACACAACCTGCAACGATAGAGAATACAACATGCAATTATGGACAGCACAAGTTGCAATTATAGACAACACAACGTGCGATTATAGACAACACAACCTACAATCATAAACAACACAACCTACAATCATAAACAACACAACCTGGTACACACATGACGACAACCAATCAGGCAAAACTGATAAACAACAAATACACTTTTTCACAGCCTACATCACAACAATCAAGGCTAAATTAATCATAAATAACATACAAACACATCCTACAGTATAAGAGACGACAGTCAGTTACACTACACGGCCTACAATACGTCACTCAAGACAATGTAAATACCAACTGGTAGTAGAGCATACACGGACCTCTGAAAACTTAAGAGGTGGAATCAGGTGCCATAGAGGATTAAGCATCCCCTGTCGATATGTCAAACTGTCATATTGCTCCTTTTTATGATTTTTCGAATGTAAAATCCGCAATTTTTTCAATGTGTAAATGATGGTCTTACAATTTACATGAAAAGCGTTAGTAAGCATTCAACTGAATGATAGAAAGTATTTTATAAAAGGGTTAAACATTCTGCAAAATATTTGATTGAAGCGAGGCTGTAGACATCCTTGTTTCATCAACTTGTTTTTCCGTAACTTGGCTATTCTTCAAGTTTTTTGGTACGTAAATGAAATTATTGCGTATGGAATCAACCGTGAGACATAAAACTCCAGATGTATTGGCGATAAGGTATTTTGCTACATACCTAAATAATGAAAACTAGCAAAAATAAAGTTTAAGTCATCATAATAATACTTTGTTGTTCCATAGTCATTTACGTCTAATTCTAATAAATAAATAGCATTTTCACTAGTTAGCATTCTTCAGAACAAAAAGCTCCCCGGTTTCGAAGCAAACATTTTTACAAAGGAGAAGATGACAAGTAGTGAACCCTGATCTCACCTGGCTCTGCTTTTGCTGTATGAGGGCTAGGACCTCCTCTCCAAGGTAGAAATCCTTAGATAAGGCGTCCGTGAACACATAGATGTAGGAGTTAGGGAGGGACACGTCCAGCGCCTCTTTGATCGCCCTCACACTCATCTCCGGACAATCCCCGCCACCCTGGACGTACAGGTTACGAAGCTCACTCTGGAATTCATCAGGGTCCTTCGTTATCACAATAGGACCAACATCTGTAAAGTACACAATATACTAGTCTAATTTCTAACTTTAAAATTATGTAAAACTTGACTGTCTCACAACTTTTGTATATATACAAGAGAAAGGTGTGCTGGTTTTACTATTTTCATAAGACATGCCTAATCGAATCTGTCATAAAATCAAAGGTATGAACCAAGTCAGCTAAAATACAACACCAAGATGGTTTTATTTGCAATGAAGGTTATTATTCTTCAAAAATCCTCCCTCTTGAAAAAGCTAAAGCACACGACAAGAGATGCTTTGTGACAAGCTTAGTTGAAATTAGCACAGGAGCTGCAGAGAAAAAAATAGAAATCGTTAAAAAGTATACAACAAAGACGATGAGGCTCCCTTGAGTCTTTGGCACAAGTGAAAAAAATGTGAGAAGAATCTCTTATGGGGTCTGTAAAAAGGTTTTCTTTCATGTTAGCTAGGCCAGTGATTATTAGACATTTTATAAACTTCTGTACGCTCTAGCAAAATAATAAGAATCTGGTACATGTGTATAATCCTAACATCATAAAACTAGTTACAAAAAAATCTCAGACAGTGCAGATATGTCAAACATTCATATCGAGTATAACATAACATTACATAAAATTCATTGAATATTTTTATTGTTTTAGGGTGATTAAGATATCAGATTAAGATATCAGTTTTAGCTTTAGATCAGTGATATCTTAATTCCAAAGCAGTTTTCAGATTAATGCCTTTTCTCTACTGACGATCTTGCAGTCTTAAAATAAATTTTAGGACAAAAAATGAGATAGATACGAGGGGTTATCAAAAATTTCGTGGACTTAGGCTATAAAATTATTACTATGTCGTTTGTGCTCTCAAAATTAATATGGAATATCAAGCAACTAAAAATAAAGAAATGTTGAAAAAATTAGCTTGATACGTTCATTATTTGCCAAATTATAAGAAAATAAAAACGACGTTATATATGATCACCCGGCGCCGTCGCCGTTTAGTTTTATGACGCCAGACAACGTTATTTTTTTTCAATGTCCGCTTCTTTTTCCTCATGCACTTATTTTGGTGAGATTCCCTGGAGCTGAGGAAGGACTTAAACCCACCTTGTTTATATGGCTTTACAATGTCATGAACGGCGGCTTTCAATGAATATATTTTTCCCAATGGATTTATCCTCGATTGATTGTGCCAGCATATTTTGCTTTTGATAGTTCAATATCTACAACACAAATCAACGTCATTTTTTGACGTGATTGATTTTTCACACCTTGACTACAAATCGACATTAACTATGCATCCCTTTTCTGCGGAAGCGTATTAGTGCCACTTGAACACTTCACTTTTTTTTAATTTCTACACTTTAATCTGTAAAATTTACACTTTAATCTGTAAATTTTACACTTTAATCTGTAAAATTTACACTTTAATCTGTACATTTTATAATTTAATCTGTAAAATTTACACTTTAATCTGTAAATTTTACACATTAATCTGTAAAATTTACACTTTAATCTGTAAATTTTACACTTTAATCTGTAAAATTTACACTTTAATCTGTAAAATTTACACTTTAATCTGTAAATTTTACATATTAATCTGTAAAATTTACACTTTAATCTGTAAATTTTACACTTTTATCTGTAAAATTTACACTTTAATCTGTAAAATTCACACTTTAATCTGTAAAATTTACACTTTAATCTGTAAAATTTACACTTTAATCTGTAAAATTTAAACTTTAATCTGTAAAATTCACACTTTAATCTGTAAAATTTACACTTTAATCTGTAAAATTTACACTTTAATCTGTAAATTTTACACATTAATCTGTAAATTTTACACTTTTATCTGTAAAATTTACACTTTAATCTGTAAAATTCACACTTTAATCTGTAAAATTTACACTTTAATGTGTAAATTTTACACTTTAATCTGTAAATTTTACACTTTAATCTGTAAATTTTACACTTTAATCTGTAAAATTTACAGATGAAAGTGTAAATTTTACATATTTATCTGTAAAATTTACACTTTAATCTGTAAATTTTACAGATTAATCTGTAAAATTTACAGATTAAAGTGTAAAATTTACAGATTAAAGTGTTAAATTTACACATTAAAGTGTAAATTTTTGAGATTTAAGTGTAAAATTTACACTTTATTTGTTTATTCACATAGTCAATTTAGCATCTTCACACATCCTCAGTAACACATTTTTAAGCCAACAAACCATGTTTCGTGCATGATAAAATTTAATTCTGATGTTTTATATTAAAGTAAAACTTTTCTTTGAATATAAAGTGAAGAGCATATCAAACATACATGCACATATTCCCGATCACAGGTGCTTGAGGACCCCTCCCCCCCAATATAGATTCCAGGGCCTGTTAGACTTTTTTCAAATAAATAATATATGGATGACACAATTGTGATATAATCTATAAATCCTATCAGTTCAGAAAATTTGCTTAAACTAACATTTTATTGGCTTACAAATGTGTTACTGAGGATGTGTGAAGATGCTAAATTGACTATGTGAATAAACAAATAAAGTGTAAATTTTACAGATTAAAGTGTAAAATTTACAGATTAAAGTGTAAAATTTACAGATTAAAGTGTAAATTTTACAGATAAATATGTAAAATTTACACTTTCATCTGTAAATTTTACAGATTAAAGTGTAAAATTTACAGATTAAAGTGTAAATTTTACAGATTAATCTGTAAAATTTACTTATTAAAGTGTAAATTTTACAGATTAAAGTGTAAAATTTACAGATTAAAGTGTAAAATTTACACATTAAAGTGTAAAATTTACACATTAAGGTGTAAATATTACAGATTAAATTGTTAAACTTACAGATTTAAGTGAAAATTTTACAGATTGAAGTATAAATTTTACAGATTAAAGTGTAAAATTTACAGATTAAAGTGTGAATTTTACAGATTAAAGTGTGAATTTTACAGATTAAAGTGTAAAATTTACAGATTAAAGTGTAAATTTTACAGATTAAAGTGTAAATAATACAGATTAAAGTGTTAAATTTACAGATTAAAGTGTAAATTTTACAGATTAAAGTGTAAAATTTACAGATTAAAGTGTAAATTTTACACATTAAAGTGTAAATTTTACAGATTAAAGTGTAAATTTTACAGATTAAAGTGTAAAATTTACAGATTAAAGTGTAAAATTTACAGATTAAAGTGTAAAATTTACAGATTAAAGTGTCGAAATTAAAAAAAGTAAAGTGTGCAAGTGGCACTAATACGCTTCCGTACTTTTCTCTCTGAATCTATTTTGACATTAAAAGCCAAGTACTTTGAATTGGATGCATATTATTTCTCTGTAGCCAGTTTAAACATTACTTGGGTCCATACCAGTTTTTTCAGGGGCAAAACATTATAGAATGTTGGAAAAGGATCTCCCCCCCCCCCCTTTTTGACGTCATTTTTAAAGCCTAATTTGTTTGGACACTCCATGCTACATTTACGATAAAATTTCATAGACTTCCAAAATGAAGAAAATAAAATTATATTTCATGGAACAATTGTGTCCCAACACATACCTGAATTAACGGGATTTTTGGATGCCAAATGTTCATATCAAAAGTTTTTTCAATTACACTTAGGTCGCACAAACGTCGTGTTCGAAGTTGCCTCGCCTGGACATACCATTGATTACAAAAACATTACTAATTCATTAAATATAAAATTTATGATTTATAGTTTATTCTTTAGATAGAAAAGATGATGCTAACAAGATATTTTAAAATTCAATGATGTACCTAAATCGGTTTTAATTTTATGGCGCTAGTCCACGTACTTTTTGATAACCCCTCGTATATGAACAATTTCAGGAAGTGTCATGCTGGGAAGTTTTTTTGAATACGTCAAAATTAACTATGAATAATTTGAATTAAATTAGATGACATACAGCTCAAAATAAATAATGAGATATAATGAGATAACCAAAAAAATCAGAGTATTGCCATGTACATACCTTCGTACTGACAATAGAGCAGTAACCCAATTAATCTCAAACATATGTCCTGAGATTGTACATAGTAAGATTAACACCTGTGGTATTGAATTGATTTTCTGATTAGTAAGAGTACTTAATTTAATTTAGATGATCAGTTTCATGCATTCCTGCAAAAACAGATGTCAATAAAAACGAAATACACTTCATGTTACATAAAATATAAGCTGCTTGTCTCTCTCTTCAGTACATTTAAGAGACATGCAGTATTTCATCTGTACTTTAAAACACATCAGGAGGTTTTATAATCTGTTGATCATGAATTTGAAATAAAAACATCATAAATTTCTCCAGGAGCTGATAACCACCGCTAAGTTTAGATCTGACAGAGAACAGATGGGGACAAAAACTACTGGCAGGCAGGTGCCCCCTCACCGCTCCTCAAAGACCCAACAGTATAGGAAAATCTCAGTTTACAATTTAACATGGAAAATATTGCTACACATATAACCTATAAACCTCAATATAAGAGAAATATTTTTTAAAAACCGTTTAAATCAAAGAAATTTTCTCTTAATTTACTCAAATGGAATAAAGAGAAAAGGAACTCAAACCATTTAAACAAAAAGCAATCAAGGACCTCAAAACTTCAGAGGTGGGGTTAGGTGCCATAGAGAGGAAAGTATCCCCCGTCGACCGGATTGTATCCGGTATGTGCTCCTTGACATGGTCGTGTAAATGGAATAAAATCTTACAAAATCAAAAAAAAAACTTTTTAAAAATATTCTAAATACAAATTGTTCAAGATTCTACAGATTTTAATAACCTTTAAAACAATAAAAAATACGACAAATAAAACACATGAACTTACAAACCTACACCCAGTGAAATTTATTCAAATTTGTGTAAATTTAAGTCCTAATACCTTTGATAAGTATATTGCATGGGTCCAATTTGAACGACTTTTGCAAACGTATCTATGCCACGCCAAATTCACAAAAATGAGCTAAACATAGTTTCACAGTTGATAAACTAGGTTTATCGACTGTAAACTATAGTTTACAAACAAACTATAGTTTACAATTCGTTAACTTTGCCTTTCATCTGTGAAGCTATATTTAACGGCTGTTAACTAATAGTTTACGAATGCTAATCTAAGTTTATCTGTCTGTAATAAAACGTTAACAATTGATTTTGTTGATAAACATAGATTTTTGTAAAATATAATATACAATCGTGAACTATAGTGAAGAGTTGTTAATCATAGTTTCACAAATCGTGAAACTATATTTATCAGATCGTTACTATAGTTAAGAGTTGTAAACCATAGTTTACAAACCATGAAACTGTATTTATCAGATAATCTATGTTTTGCAATCGCAGTTTTTGAAACATAGATTATAGCGTAAAACTGACTATTTTATTTTAAACCTTTGCCTGCAAAAGCTTAAAATCTCTTGTAAGGATATATGATGTAATAAAATAAGACAATTTCTCCAAATTTCTCCTAATTTTCACAAACCTTCTATTTATAATCTCTGTGTCAAAGTAACAATTTATGTGAAAGTTATTTTTTTCCTATTCAAATTCATTTTCAGAAATATTAATATTTACTCTGACCATGAACTTTGACCATCACAAAGAAAGAACTTTTTTTCTCACACATCACTATTATTATATATTTTTTGTAAAATTATCTCACCTGGATCGTGGAATGGTACGAGTACATAATTATATAGAGGTTTATCTCTACGGGCGAGCGTTGTAGCCATAATTTTAGCTGCCCCATCGATGACCTGAACCAAGTCGTCATACATAGACCCGGTTATGTCGAACACAAAGGCCAGTGTAGCAGCCCCGGGGGGAACATCATCCTGGGGGGCTGCAAGGGCCGGGAAAGTTAACAAAACCGTCACCAAAACACACTGTCGCAAGCAGTTACGCATCCTCAATAGCGTAAGATATGCGTAAAACAAAATATTAGTTCCTAGAAGTTTTCATGGAAAACAGAAGGAAATTTACATCCAAATACTTGCATACATCCTTCAGTCCTCTTTACATGCTTAGTTTACACTGAGAGAATTCCGCCTTGTTTGTGGGTGCAATGATAAGACCCATAATTGTTTTAAACTAATTAGATGATGGATTAAATAGAGATGTGAACACTTGATCTACTTTGAACAAGTGTGTTTTACTATCAGCTGTCTTCTTAGATAAACTTCAGCAATCTCTGAAAGCTAAGTTTAATTCTAAATAGATTAGATTTCAGTGCACACATTTGATTTACGCGTTTCACGAAGTTTACAATTTTCTCAAAGATTTGTAACAGAAATGCATATCACGGAAATGCATAGCTAAAATTCTTTACAAATAAATTATATGCATAATTCAAGATTTTAAATTCCTTTTTTAATACAGGAAAGTATTGGTAAACCCAATGAACTAAAATCGAGACTCATAAGACTCGAATAAGATTTTTTATCAAAAAGTCGCGTGATAATCAAAATAAAAAGGAGCTAGTGAAGGTTTGATTTACCCGGTAAATCAGACTGAAGTAGAAAATACCAAAGCGTGTTTCAAAGAAATGGAAAGGATGAAAAAACAAATTGTAATCAATTTCTCAAATCATCAAATCAATAGATACGAACCATTGGGGGTGGGGGGGGGGGGGGGGGGGGGGGGGGGCACAATCAAGCCCCTAGTAACGCAAGAAATAGGATCACATATCAGGGATGAATATTATAATATTAAAATGTTTATCATTGAAATAATCTTAATTGTATTAAAAAAGTATATAACAATAAATTCCTCTTGAATACATTGAAACTCTTAACCTTTGTGCAAATATGATCCAGGATGTTATTTATTAAACCGTTATTTATCAGAATTTAAATCGTACAACAGGCTTTGGGATATAATTAATAGCACATCTGCAGCCAGTAAAAAAATGGTAATAGTATATTGTCATAGATGTGTATAGTTTTACATATTAAAAATGGTGTAACACATTGTCTGTTCTTATGCATTTAACGTTATATATAAATCTGGTTAGCTCAGTCGTGGTGCTTACATTCAGGATGAAGGTTTGGTTGTTTGTGGTGTGTTGGCTGTGTTTTACAGCTGTGTTCGGGTGTTCTGAAAAGCAAGGCAAGTACAAAAATACGATTGATATGGATATTTTCTACCCTTTACTCTCTAAATCTATATTTTGGTATATTTTTCATTTCCATTTAATAAATTTTAGTTGTTCTAATGACTAAATGCGTATGAATATGAAAGTGCGCATTTAAGTACATTTGATACTGAAAGTTTGAAATATTTGTCAAGACCTTTATTATTGACAAACAAGTTGATGAAACAAGAATATCATCATCTCGTTTAAAGTAATCACTTCGTAAGTTCTATGGTCGATGCAATGGCCTTGTCAGCAAATACAGTATATCATTGAGTCAAATGCATGACGTTTTTCATACTAAATGTAAGTCCGTTATTTATACACTGAACTGACGACGGATTTTTCCGTTATTTCTCGATCATGACAAAGAGCACACAGTATGGGGATGCTCACTCCTCCATGGCACCTGATCCCACCTCTGATGTTTTGGAGTTCAGTGTTTGCTCAGCTCCTATTTTGTATTGTTTTATAAACTTTGATATTGAATACCGTTCCTTACCTCCATGTCTTTCATTCTAAAAATTCTGCATCATATTTCAGTTCTTTTATTAAATTTGAAATATCGAAATATTAAATGTGGATTCGGCAACACACATTAAACGAAATTCAAAAGAAAAAGAAAACAAAAACAAAACAGCGATTATATTTCATTTATTCATACAGATAGAAGAAAACCAGAAACTTAATTTTGTGGTCGAAAGTATTTTAGGAGAATATGATAAATTTTCCCTTTTGAAGTATTTACAATCACTACTCTTCAGGTTAGATTCGTACTTCCCTTTCTGGTGGCACATAGAATTATTTGGTCAGAGAAATAATCATATTTGTTCAGAAATAAGTATTCAATTAATTTTTATGAATTTTATCATTATACTGTGAAAATTCAAGAAAAAATTGAGGCAATTTCAACATAAATCGAAAAAAAAATTTATTAGTCATATCTAAAATTGAATATGTAAATTTAATGCATCTTGTTAAAGATAGAATATAAATATACAGTTAAAGAGTAGAGTTCAGGGAGTAAGCATGCTTCCATTTCCCCCAGGGCCAGGACTATCCCCAGAGGTGCAACTCAATAATTTACATTACTGTAGTTATAATCGAGGGGAAAGGTAATCTTGCTACTGTAACTCCCCCAATGAGATATACGTTTCAATTTTAAAATAATTGACGAAAAATATTAAGTTAAATAACATTATTCAACTTTGGTAAGAAAAAAAATTGAGCATTATAAATATTTTAGCTCTCGAGAACTATTTTTTGATGAAGCACCTATACCAGAATTAGTGTTTGTAGATTCAAATAAACATAACCTTTCAAACTTTTTAAAGCGGTCAATGTAAAATCTTTAGTTTACAATTAGCTTTGACTGTTGAATTGATATACCAAATTCTACGAAATCCGAATACACATCAGTTTCTTATTGACAGCTTTTGTGTGCTCACCTCCGTTTGAAATTTACGAGGGCAATTGTTACAACATCAGTACAGACAAAGTGTCAGCAGACGAGGCTTTTGTAAGTAATCATTTTACAAACAGTAGTTAAGGTTTAGTTGTTTTATGTAGGAATTACCGACGTTTTAAGTAGTAAACTTATATGAGCTTATTTTATTACGAGTATTTTGGCTGATTTGTGTTACACCAATCGTTAGATCATTGATCTTACAATGCATTTGACAAGGGAGTGTACAGTCTTCTTGTCTTTATAAGACACGGGCTCATGGCAGGTGCTTGGTCGGCAGGGGATGCTTAATCCTCCTAGGCACTTGGTCCCACCTCTGGAATTTCCAGGGGTCCGTACTTTATGCCCTTTCTGCAGATTCGAATTGTCTATACATTTTTTAGATCGATCATTGTATGTCATTTCCAACTTTTTAATTTGTACATGTATGCATAAACCTACCGAGTTTAAATTTAAGAATCTTGTATAGATGGTTGCAATAATTTGAATAATATTTTACATTAAGATGCGTACGCGTATATTTCTTAAATAGTCTATAACTTTTAACTTTTTCTCAGGCCCGGTGTAGTCGTATGGGGGCATACCTCGCCAACTTTGAGACATTGGAGGAAGCAATGCTGATGAAGCAAAAATTGAAAGAAATGAATACAGGTACTTAAACGTGACGATTTCTCAAGATTTGTGAAATAAAATATATATTGGTAAAAATATATCTTTGTTGATGCTATACATAAGAAAGTCATTATCAAAAATCAGTTAATATCATATTCAGATATGTTACTGTATTAAAATTAAAACACCTTGTTTATGTAGAATTTATTTAAGATATTAAATAACAGGAAGATAAACTTTTCAGCATTTTATTACGCAATCTTTCTAACGCTATAGAAATCTTAATTCAATACATCTGGTTTGAGACGCACAAAGTTGTTGATCAAATTATATCTTTACAGGTCTCCATTTTTACGTCGGTGGGAGAAACATAAACAGAAGGAAACCAGAAGGGGACTGGAGGTGGATCAGAAATGGAGAAATGAAGGAAATGACGTACTTCGCTTTTGGAGCCGGGGAACCAAATGGAAATGACGGAGCTCCCCAAGACTGCATGTTCTTTTATGCAGCAAAGCAATACGCATTTCATAACGTCTTTTGTGACAATGGTTCATATCTCGGTGGTTATATCTGCGAAAAGTAAAAAAAAAAAAAAATAAAATATTGAATTTTTTTCTTTTGCTATATATATACAGTCGAGTAATTTACGCGTTTATCGTAAAACAAACCTATATAGATACCGAAGATCAAAGTTAAAAAAAGAAAAATATCTTATCAATAAAACATTTATCCAACAGCAAATTTAGATTGAATTATTTTTCTTTTTGTGTATGGTATAATCTTCAAGCAGGTTAGTGTGAAATATTACGTTTTTAATACTTATTGTTACACCATTATATACACACTGAATTGTCGACGAATTTACCGTTATTTCCCGATCATGACAAGAAGCACATTGGTGTGACCGGTTGGTAGCGGATGTTCACTCCTCCACGGCACCTGATCCCACCTCTAATCTTTTGGGGGTATGTCCTTGTTCTGCTCCAATTTTGTATTAACTGATGGACATTTGAGCTTGAGTTCTGTTCGTTATCTCCATTCATTTCACCTCATAAATAAGGAAAGTTAACGATGAAAAAGATGAAGTTATCTAGTTTGTCTGGCAATTAAGTTATTAATTGGTCATTATCGTTTACAGTCAGTAAAAACCCTGAATATCAAACAGATGTTACAGACTTTATGGTGTCTTTTATTTCAAGTTAATTGTAATATATTGAGTCGACATGCGGATAAAATAAACCATTGTTAATTGATAAGCATAAATATCGAATTGAAGTGACATCAGCTAGTATATTCCTACTCCCTTGTAGAAGCTTTTGAATAAAACCGAGTCTCCTAAGACGACCTGAATGTTGTCAATAAGGAACTCTAGCATCTTTTTCTATTTTTTCAATATATTTTTTGTTTTCTGTCCTAGAGAATTCTTTTCAGCCAAGTACATGAAAGTTGATGTTAAAAGTAACCACACTGTGAAATTTCAAAAACTTGGTCCATCCAGTTTGGTCTGGGGGAATAAATAACAAAGTTTATTTTTGCAATGTCTGATACATCAAAAATTGCCATATCGCGGTATAAATATATATGAGTGTAGATCTAAGTGTACACGCAGTCTACTTGAGTACAAAAATATACTGAAATCAAGTTAAAATTGTAGGAGGCGTACATATAACATATATTTTGGAAGTACATGTCAAAGACGTTTTTAATTTTAGTATCGATGGCAACATTGTTCGGTAACCATTAAAAAACTGTTTATCAAAAATAAAAAATAAAAAAAATAATGAAAAACAGAATTATTTATCTTAATGTAGTTACCTTATGTGCGAAATTCTATTAAAATCAGACAAGAACTGTAAGTAGAGTAGTTAACAATTCCAAGGGTTTTTGAAGAAAATATATACAGACAGACAGCTAGACAGAAAGGCACACAGACAGACATAAGACGAACGGAAGATAGCAACAATATAACGGAAATTTCTTTAGAAAGTACGGGTACAGATATATAATAAAAATGTATAACAAATGTATAACAAAGCAAAGGGTTACCAAAATATAATAAACCAAAAACATACTCTGGAAATACATGAAGGATATGGAGATAACGAACAGTATTCCATATCAAAGTCCATGAAAACAATACAAAATAGGATCAAAGCAAACATGGACCTCTAAAACCTCAGAGGTGGGAACAGGTGCCATGGAGGAGTGAGCATCCCCTGCTGGCCGGTCACACCCGCCGTGTGCTCCTTGTCATAATCGGGAAATGAAGAAAAATTCGTCGTCAATTCGGTGTATAAATAACGGACTAACAATTAGTATGAAAAACGTCAGTCAGCATTTGACTCAATGATAAATTGTATTTGCTGAAAAGGTCATTGTATCGACCATAGAACTTACGAAATGATGACTTTAAACGAGACTACTGATATTCTTGTTTCATCAACTTGCTTGTCAATGATTTACCTCGCTTTAGAAATTGTTCATACGTAGAGCATGCTCTTGCGTATCGAATCAACTGAAATATATAAACTCCGTATGCAGGTGATGAACCGAAGGTATATTGTTGCATAAGTAAGGGAAGTTGACGATTGAAAAGTTAAAATCATCACGTTTCTCATAAAGCTTGGTTGTTAGATTACCATTAGATTAACTTCTTTTTTTCAAGTGAAATATTCAAATATGAAACAGATATGTCAGACTCTGTGGTATCTTTTATGTCAAGCTCATCAGGATATATCGTATCGACATAAAAACAGAAATTACCATTGTTTATTGAAAATACGTCGTCGATATACTTAGTATCTAAATGTCGACTTGAAAGTCACAGGCCACAGCAAGTGTTTTTATCTTTTTATGCATAAAATTCTGGACAAATTCTGTTTCACATAAATACAAAAATATGAAGATAATGAATTGTAACCAACTTCACGAATCATCAATGAATACAAAATTTGTAAGCACAGAATCATACCCATGTCATAACAAGAAATTAGATCTTTTACCAGTGATGAATGTCGTGCAATTGACATGTACATCATTAAAATAATCATTTATTCACTTTTGAAATTATCTAACCACAAACGTCTCTTGATTACATTTTCACTCTAAAACTTTTTGCACAAGTACAACTTGGAATTTATCATTTCGAAAATCATTTATCAGGTTACGAATTGTACAACAAATACGTAAAGCACAATATTTTATTCCTGAAGCAGACACAAATAAGGCAGTTAGTATAAGCTCGTTATAATTTATTGTCACATATGGGTTTGCCACATTACATATTATGATGTAACACATTTTCTGTTTTTATGCATTTAAACATTAAACATAAATCAGGTTAACTGAATTTTGATGATTACATTCAGGATGAAGGCTTGGTTTGTTGTGATGTGTTGGTTGTGTGTTACAGCTGTGTTTGGGTGTTCTGAAAAGCAAGGTAAATTGAAAAATTACAATTGATATGGACATTTACTACTATTTATTCGCTTAATTTTTGTTTTGGTTTGTTTTACATTTCCGTAAATAGTAAACCATGCAATTTATAATTTTTACTTGTTTCACAGACACAGTGCATATGAACACGAACTGCGCATTTAAGAAAAGAAAAATTAAGCAGACATATTTCAACTCCTAAAATCTAATTTATGCTAAACTTGCGTTTAACTTAAGTTAGAAACACTTGTTGATCATTGTCTGCAGTATCAAATAAATTTCAAATTTTTAAAACTTTTCAAAATGTATAAATTAAGTGGCTATTGCCGAATCTTTCGTTCTGGTTTACAATTAGCTTTGTCCGTTGAATTAAAATTCTATGAAATCCGAATACACATCAGTTTCTTATTGACAGCTTTTGTATGCTCACCTCCGTTTGAAATTTACGAGGGCAACTGTTACAACATCAGTACAGACAAGGTGTCAGGAGACGAGGCATTTGTAAGTAATTATTTTAGCTAAGCTTTAATTCGTATCATATAAGAATTACCAATGTTTTAAGCAGTCAATTTATATGAGTTTGTTGTATTAAGCGTCTTTTGGCTGATTTGCTTCACATCAATCGTTAGGCCTCTGTTCTTACAATGCATTTGACACGGATTGCTTAGTCTACTTGATCAATACACGGGGTCATGGCCAACAGGGGATACTTAATCCACCTGGGCACCTGATCCCACCTCTAAAATTTCCAGTGGTCCGTGCTTTATGCCCCCCTCCGCAGATGTACATTGTTTAAAGATTTTTGAAATCGATCATTGAATGCTATTTCCAACTTGTTATTTTTTACATATACCTGCCGAGTTTAATAATTTGAAAAAAAAAATCAATAAGATGTACACGCTTTTATTTCCTAAATACATGTGTAATTTATCGTATAAATATTGCATGTAGGTGAGTGTAACATTGAAAAATGTTTAGCCCAAGAAAACCATTGTCAACCGAGGCAGGTATATGTATTTTCGAGGGGTGAAAATTTACAATGTTACACTCAACTACATGCAGTATTTATCATTTTATACTGAATGTTTTATACAAATACATATAACAGTGAACCGTGCGCGCATAAATTCTGCAGTCGCTGTATGTATTTTTTGGAATATCACCCGTCGTCAAGCAATGTTGACTGTTGCTACGCAGGAGTTCGTGGCTTCATTATTCAGCGGGTAATAGTGTTTTTTAACAAATGTTTCTAGACGAATCAGATTGAAGTAATTTACATGAAAGTATAATATTAATTATTTACTTTTCCTCAGGCACGCTGTAGTCGCGAGGGGGCATACCTCACAAACTTTGAGACTTTGGAGGAAGCATTAGTGATGAAATAAAAATTAAATGAGATGAATACAGGTACATACATGTGATGATTTCTTAAGATTTGTGAAATAAAGTTTATATTCCAAAAAAAAAAATATCACTGTTGATTGCAATAAATAACAAAGTCATTACCAAAATTCAGTAAATATAAGATTCAGATAAGTATTTAAAATAATGCACTTTGCTTCTGTTGAATTAGAATGGAATTAATGTATTAGACTACAGAAAAAAAAACTTTCTGCATTTTTTTCGCAATCTTTCTAATTCTATAAAAATATTTATTCAGTATATTTGGTTTGAGACATTGTTGTCCATCAAATTTATCTTTACAGGTCTCCATTTTTACGTCGGTGGGAGAAACATAAACAGAAGAAAACCAGGAGGGGACTGGAGATGGATCAAAAATGGAGAAATGAAGGAAATGACGTACTTCGCTTTTGGAGCCGGACACCCAAATGGTATTGATGGAGCTCCCCAAGACTGCATGTTCTTTTATGCGGCAGAGCGATACGCTTTCCATGTCTTTTGTGACCACGATTCATATCTGGGCGGTTATATCTGCGAAAAGTAAAAATAAAAGAGAAATACATGTATTTAATATTGAAATTATCATCATTATTTATTATATAAGTGCAGTCGAGCAATTAACATAATTACTGGAAAACAAACCTATTCAGTTTCCAATGAACAAAATAAAAGATGACGCAATAAAAAGCATTTCAATAAAACTTTATTTATCCTTCAGCAAATTAAAGATGAATTTTTCTCTTGGTCTATGGTATTATCTCTCAAAGGGCGCGAATTTTCCCTGTTCTATTTTTTTGTAAATTATATTTTTGTGATTACATATATTTAGTATCAAAATATATCCTTTGATTTTCTATAATAAGTCATCTTCGCTAGCTAATGGTTTCTGATACGCTACTCACTAGCCAATGGTTTCTGATACGCTACTTGCTGGCCAAGGGTTTCTGATACGCTACTCTCTTCATAATCCCTTGGCATACGTTGCTGAGAATTTAAAGACAGGATTGTTTTCGTGACGTGATCTCGAATTTTGAAGACACGCACCAATTAAGTCATCAACAGAAAAAATAACATTTGAAATCATGAAAGTTATAAAGAATAAATATACAAGAAGGTATTGATTTTTCATTTGTTGTTTAATGTTCAAATCTACATCTTCAATATAGACTAAGATTTTGGATGACACTATATCTATTCATAGAATAATGTGATAGTTGTTTACTTGCGTTTTTTTATTCCCGAGAGTAAAGAGTAAAAATAAGTCTCGAACGCTGATTTCGTCATTTACGAAAAATAATTGCTGATTGGTCGAGCGGTGTCAATCGATTCCAATCATAACTTGAGAAAAAAATCCCCATTTTTTTTTTTACACCGGGCTTTTGAGAAGAGTAGCGTATCAGAAACCCTTTGCTAGCGAAGATGATAAAAAGCAATCTCCCATGCAGAGTTGACGTTCGTTCCTCTCTCAGACATGAATGTATGAGCCGATGGTAGGGAGTGGATAAAAAGTACACCCACGATTTAATTTCATATGCATTTTCAGATTGAATTGACTTCGGACTTTTCCGTTCATATCTTAATCATAAGGAGCAGATATGATATCCCTGTAACATCAACTTATCATAGAGTAACCGGCCTCACTTTGAAAAATGATTGTACTCGGAATGCTCTCGGGCTACGAATATTTTAGGAGATACATGTATTAACATGTATGAAAGCCCTACTCAGAATAATACTCTAAACTGAGGGCGAGCACACGATAGTGAAATAGATTTTCGGTTCTAACCTTTCAATTCAATTATTTTCATTTCTTGCATGATAAAATAGTAAGCATTAGGCAAATCGTTGACAAACAAGTTGTTGAAACAAGAATATCAACAGTCTCGTTTAAAGTCATCATTTCGCAAGTAAGTTCTGTGGTCGATACAATGACCTTGTTAGGTTTGGAGGTCCGCATTTGGTCTGCTCCAAATTTGTATTGACTGATGGATATCTGAGCTTGTGTATTGTTCGTTTGGTTTCTACTTGGTCATTTTCGTCTACAGTCATTAAAACATCTAAATGAAACATATGTAACAGACTCTATGCATGGTGTCTTTTATTTCAAGTTCACTGGAAAATATCAAGTCGACATACGAATGAAAATAACTAATGTTAATTGATGAATCTAAATGTCGAATGGAAGACTGCAGCTAGTATTTTCCTACTCTCTTAACAAACTCTGCTTCATAGGAATTATAAAAACATGACAACTCATAAAGGCGCTAAATTACTGTCCATCGGAATTCTAACAGTTCGTTTGAAACTGAAGAACTCCAACACTCTTTTTCACTTTTCCCACTTTTTTTTTTTTTTTTTTTTTTTTTGTATTTCTGCCTAGAATTTTTTTTCCAGCTAAGTAAATGAAAGTTTTTCGTAAAAAGTAACCAAATTGTTAAATTTCAAAAAAGTTGACCATCTAGGTTGCTCTAATAATTAATTACAAAGTTATTTTTTTTCACTTTTCAATACATCTAAAATTGCCACAATGTGGTATAGATATTAGTGCAGATAATCCAAGTTCTTAGACTGTGATTTATCGTGGTCAATTGTTGTATAAAATGCAGAAAAGTCTTCTTTTTTTAAATGTGATTTTAACGTTTCTAAATGAAAGAATTTCATAGAAATTTCTTTTTTAGAAATCATGACAACTCAATAATAATCAATAATTTATCTTTGTTTAAGCTACTTTAGTGTTAAAATATTTTAAATGAAACATGTGGAGATAGCAAACGGTATTCAAGATCAAAAGTCCGTTAGACAATAAAAATAGGAGTGAAGCAAATACGGACCTCCAACACATTAGAGGTAAGATCAGGTGTCATGGAAAAGTGAGCATCCCCTGCCGACCTGTCATACCTGCCGCTTGCTCCAACATGAGAATTGTTGTCATAATCGGAAAATATCGGAGAAATTCGTCGTCAATTCAGTATATAGATAATGTACTAACAATTAGTATGAAAAACATCAGTCAGCATTTGACTCAATGATAAACTGAATATGCTGACAATGTCATTGTATCGACCGAAGAACTTATGAAATGATGACTTAAATGAGACTGTTGATATTCTTGTTTCATCAACTTGTTTGTCAATAATTTACCTCGTTGTAGAAAATGTACACATGTAGATCAATTTTTAATTAAGACACAAATTTCAACGCAAAAAGGTCATATTAAATGTACTGTAGCGCCAAAAGAAGCGTATTGACCTCCATTTTTTTATTTGAATTTTGATTAAGCTATGTATGTAGAAACTTAAAATATACTTGGCAAAAAAGTTTAAGACTTTAAATATCAGGATCGAACGTCGTTAACGTTATAAAACTCAGTTTTCCATTCTTGATGCCTGTATTCAGTATGAAGACTTTGTTATTCGTTGTGCTTTTGCTGTGTGTTACAGTTGGGTTAGGTTGTCCGGAGAAGCAATTTAAGTAGCTGAGAGAGAAGTGAGAAGATCAATTATATTTGAAAAATAAAATTTTTAATCTTACTTATATTTTTAAGCTATATCTTTCCTTAATTATGTTGGAAAAACTTCATTTTGAATTAAGCTTAAGACTAAATTATTCAACTAAATATTATGCAAACGCATATAATTGTAGTAGTAACATTTTTATTACAAGGAAGGAATAATAATTCAAAACTTTATGTAAACACATAGTTGAGTAATCGGGAAATTCAGTTTGTAAATAAATTGCCTATCAATCGGTATAAAAACACATCAGTCAGTTCCATCAGACTTATTGATAGATTGTTCTTGCTGACAAAATCATTCTACTGACGACATATATAATAGACACATCGTATCAAACATACAAGGTAACGACAGTGAACATTGAACACAGATTGTTCCATGTTTGGAACGTTATTTGAGATATCATGAGTGACTCCCTCATAGCAAGTGAATAGTTATTCCCTGTCAAATAGTTCCAGAGGCAATAAATGCAGTAATACGTACACAAATTGCTTTTGATTTAATGTATATATCTTTTGATAATTCATATTTGCTCTGCTCCAAATTTATTTTGCTAAATGGACCTTTGAGGTTGAAAACTTTTCGTTATTTCAACATATGTCATATGTGACATTAAGTAGACAAAATATATATACAATTTGTACTTTTTCTTTAACATAGTAAAATATTCAGCAAAACTTTTTTTTGAAAGTTAAAACAAATCTCATTTTAATGGATTTCTAGGCCCGATGTAGACGTATGGGGGCATACCTCGCCAATTTTGAGACACTTGAGGAAGCAATGTTGATGAAGCAAAAATTGAATGGAATGAAATCAGGTAACTATACAAGTACAAGTGACAATTTCTTAAGATCTATAAAAATACGTTAAAATTTGGAAAAAGTATACCTTTGTTGATTGTTATACGTAGCAAAGAAAACAGTTGATAACGTTAAAAATCAGAATCAGATAAGTATTGAAAATAACTGCAGAGGTATATGTTAAATGGAATTTTGAATTAATTAAATAAATAAATTATAAGAAAAAGTTTCCCAGAATTTTATGCCAAAATTTTTCTAACGCTATAAAAATCATAATTCATACATTTGGTTTCAGACGCAAAATATGTCCAAAAAGTTTAATATTTACAGGTCTCCATTTTTACGTCGGTGGGAGAAACATAAATAGACGAAAACCAGGAGGGGACTGGAGATGGATCAGAAATGGAGAAATGAAGGAAATGACGTATTTCGCTTTTGGTTCCTCTCAGCCCGATGGGTCAGATTCAGCCCCTCAAGACTGCATGTTCTTTTATGCAGCCGAACGATACATTTTTCATGACGTCTTTTGTGACCATGATTCATATATCGGCGGTTATATCTGCGAAAAGTAAAAGAGAAATAAAATATCAAAATTAGTTTTATTATTTTGTTATACTTCCAAGTATTTCTCCGAAGTCAGGCAAAACTGAATGATCTCTAGATGAGCTATTTATTTGCCAACAAGAAAGATAAAAACATGACGACAAATTTTCAATATCATCTTATTTTCCTAAAGCTATCTAAGAACTCGGTTCACTTTCTATTATATTTGGCCCTGAGAATTTCCAAAAATTATGTTTAAACTGAATCAAAACTATATAGTGGAAATAAATGTTGGATATATGCTAGCTTAAAATATATATCAAAAATTTGAGAATGTGTCCCCGATTAACTATTTAATGGGGGTCAAAACATGCATGGAATGCGTATTTCCGGAAAAATCGTTAAAATTCAACTACTTAAAAGCATTTTGCAATAGGTGCCCATCATATCACCACTTTGAAATTTTCTCAGTTGAAACAATGGTTTAAAAGCATTCTTTATGCAAAAAATTGAGATGGTGATATTGTGGGCACCATGTTTAAGTTAACAAAACACGTTTTAATAAGTTGACGAATTTCAGGGCAATCAGACGTAATTGGACTAAATTGTGTCAGTAGCCAATTTTTGAGTAACTTCTCTCAATCATTTGGCGAAAAGGGGAATTTTAGTTTCATACCTTGTTTATTCTAAGAAATAAGGACGATACATGCTCGCATTGTCGTTTTCTGTGTGATCACCCCCCCCCCCCCCCCTCCACCTCCATACCATCTAAATACGCAATATAGCAAAAGTAATATAGGCAATATCTTTAAAATAGATTTATTCTCCTATTTATAAAGTTCAATATTGCATATTTTTTAATTGTCTGTTTGGATAATCTTATAAAGATATAAAATCATAAAAAAAAAACATGAAATTTTACTACTTTCACTTTCGCGTCGTTGTAACCAGGCAACTGTAAAATTAATAGTCTGGGAATATTTCATGCAGAGATAACAGAGTTCCGAGAATGTGACGCATGCAGTCATACAGTTTTTACAGGTGAGTAAAAAAACATTCCTTTTGCTTGAAATTAGGCCTAAATGAAGATTTTGTGTATGTGGAGAAACAATCTGTTATAATTACTTGAATCGCCAGCTCAGTTTTGTTCAGTTTTATCTGAACAGATCACGATCATATATTTTGCATGTCAAACGATTGAGCAGTGCTATGTACAAGTTATTTGAATCAATGCAAAACAAAACAAAAAATAAACGGTGCTTAAAATGTATAATTGTTTGTTTAATTTTATGAACTAGGAAATGTACACAATTTCATTTCTTTATAGGTATAATATTATATAAATGGTGCCTGTTTTGGAGGGTAACAGTTGAAATTGACACCCCAAGGAAAACCATTGTCAACCGACGCGTCAGCGGAGGTTAACAATGGTTTTCCGAGGGGTGTCAATTTCAACTGTAACCCTCCAAAACAGGCACCATTTATTTTATTATACTGAATGTCTTCTAGATTTACAATGTCAGCAATACAAATCGTCGATCGCCTTTTTCGTTCACGTTTAGAAAGCTTTCAAACTCCCCGCTACTTCGAAAAAGATTTACTGACCTCTTTATTGTTTATTTGATACTCTACGAGTCCTTTACCATCTAAAGTTTCGTTATTTCTGCACTCGCAAGCATGTTTCGTCTGTCGTTTGTTGTTTTCAAGTAAGCTACATCGGATGCAAGCTTTCATTGACATCAAGTTTATTCCGGTTCTTTCAAATGCGCAACTGACGTTTTAAGAATTCTATGGTGAACCGTACGCGCATAATTTCCACGCATGTGGCATTACTGTTGTGTTACCCGTTGTCAAGTGTGTTGCTAAGGCTGAGGGTAATAGAACAGATTGTTAACTGCGTCTAAACCAATCAGATTTTAGTATTTAGCATGAAAGTATAATAAAATAACATGTACATAAAGGCCTAGAGGTAAAGGGCTGAAGTAAAAGTCTTTAGAACTAGGCTGTTTTGGGTTCCAACCTGTTGGCTTGGCTCTTGGTTATAAATCATCTGATGTATGTTATATGAATACATGTATTTAAGTTTCCAGTCATTGGATGCATTCATGGATAAGTGAATAAGCATAGCTAAAAAAGGCCTATCATTTTATTGATTATTTAGATGTGCAGTCGACTTGGGTGAAATATGACGTCATAATCATTTTACGTTATAAAACAAGGTCACGCACTTTCTCTGGTAAAGAGCATCTATAGGTCTAGATCACAGGCACCTGACGTTACTTATTTTCTTTTAATAAAAAAATATACACATACCTAATAATAATTATTATGTATGTGTATAATTTTTCATTAAAAGAAAAATAAGTAGCGTCAGGTGCCTGTGGTCTAAATGCATAGCATTTTAATTTTAAAATAAGAAGGCCATTACTTGAGGTAACCCAACATAACACTTTTTTCTTGTTCATTCTTAAAATATTTGTATTCTGTTTTTACCGGCCGCCAGGAGGCTGTTGGTTATATGATATGAAAGTTCGAAGTCGCTGTGCGTGTCTGCGGAGTTAAAACAATTTAAATAAAAAATATTTAACATCAATAATATAGTAGTATATTAAAAAGAGCGTCTAAATGTTTAACAAGAACGCTCAATAAACGTAAAATTAATTCATTTTTATAAAAAATGAGGCAAATATTTCACCCAATCCTGATTGAGAAACTTAGACATGTCTGAGGTGCGGAGAAAATAAGGACATGTGTTGGGCATGGTCTATTAAGCAAAGACCGCGTTATATGTATATTACACAATTTTACTTTCTCCATTTAAACAGGATTTGCTGTACTTATTTATTTTAAAATAACGTGTACACATGTACATATATAAACATTTTCAAAAATATGATTAAATGTTAATTCATCGAAAGACCTAGCAGGCTATAGAATATTACAAGATTTTGTCCTTAGCAGACGAGGATAATGCACGTTTTACAATGTGCCAAGAATTTTCCCGCTACAACTCAAAGAAAATGTAGTGGCGGATCTATAAGGAGCCCCAAATATTTGTTGCGTTTTTATTAAATTAAAACTACACTGCATATCTAGTTGTAGATTACAGTAAACTTTAGTTTTAAACTTTTAATGTAAATGCCTCTTAATTATAAAGACCCGAGGTTTGTTGACGCAGAGGACCAGGGGTACTTTTCTAATATATAGTTATGTTGTAAAACTGAACATGCATTATATAATTAAGAAAATCATGCAATGTCGTGCACAAGCGTTTAATGTCACGATGATATATATCAAAAGATAAATAAAAGATATTTTAAAAACAGATCACCATTTCAGATTTTTATAGTTGATTCATAAAAGGAACAATAATTATTAATTGGTTTGCGGCTGATTTTTGACGCTTGCGTCAATATATGTTTCTTGTTTCTTATTCTCGCAAATCTTGCTCAAAGATATACACTACGACCGAATACAAATTGCCGTGATCCACTGGTTACATTCTCTAAAACGTGCGTTTTCACTGATTGATTAGATCCCGCCCACTCTCGTTTGCCTATATAGATGAAAATTGTTGTGATTATGAAACGTTCTTCAGATAAAGTCAAAGTATTCAAGCCGATCTAAAATGTTACTGCCAAGCAGACAATATATGCTTCACAAATGTGTAATGTACAGATGTGAAGATAAAAGAATACTGAATAAACAATTTGCACCAGTAGTTTCAGTGAAAATTTCTGAGTCTGTTTCATGATCCTGGGACCTGGAAATCTGATAAACAGATACAAACAAATTGAAAACTCCATTAATTATTGTAACGCACACCCAGCTGATACTGAAACACTTGTTAGGCTATTGAAAAAAAATATAAACATTGTATGTGTCCGTAGCTGGTAAAACACGTGCAACATCGGAATTATTCAATTAAAGGTCTGCAGTATTATTGTCACAATTGTCAGTATTACCATGTTTCAAATGAGTGCCAGTGCATGCCCATTTTAACGGTCGTCATGACAATAAATAAGCGGGAAAAAATATAAATCGATTTCACCGTGTTTTTTTTCTGAAGTGGAGATTTTCCCGTAACGATGGAATGATTTTTTTTTCCGAATTTCACACATTTTTCAATTAGTTTAAAATCAGTGATAAACATCGTACATACTTGCAATATAAAACAATGGCGGGGGGGGGGGGGTCAATCGCGTAAATATATGCCCCGGGCAGTAACCTGCCAATCCCAGTACAAAGTTTTATTTCCATTTATCAACACTCACAATAATCTCATAAAATATTGCATGTACATTATCCAACTTTCTCGCCAAGAGAAAATGTTAACATAGAAAGCACAGTTTTGCCTAATTATACCCGCACTTTCAAAAGAAAGTTCGGGTATATTGTTGTTACTCATGTCCGTCCGTCCGTCCGTCTGTCACACTTTTCTTCCCTGAACTCCTCCTACATTTTTCACAGTAGCTTAATCATCCTTTGGGAGATGGTTGGGGGTGTCATGTAGATGTGCAGTAAGGTTTCGGAATTTTGATTTTGCCCCGAGGGATCAAATGGGGGTCGAAAAATGACGTTTTTTATACAAAAAGCCCCTTCTTCCCTGAACTCCTCCTACATTTTTCACAGTAGCTTAATCATCCTTTGGGAGATGGTTGGGGGTGTCATGTAGATGTGCAGTAAGGTTTCGGAATTTTGATTTTGCCCCGGGGGATCAAATGGGGGTAAAAAAAATGCCGTTTTTTATACTAAAAGCCCCTTCTTCCCTGAACTCCTCCTACATTTTTCACAGTAGCTTAATCATCCTTTGGGAGATGGTTGGGGGTGTCATGTAGATGTGCAGTAAGGTTTCGGAATTTTGATTTTGCCCCGGGGGATCAAATGGGGGTCGAAAAATGACGTTTTTTATGCAAACAGCCCCATCTTCCCTGAACTCCTCTTACATTTTACTTAGCAGCCTAATCATCTTTTGTGGGATGATTAGTGGTGTCATGTAGATGTGCAGTAAGGTTTTGGAATTTAGATGTTGCCCCGGGGGATCAAATGGGGGT